GCTGCGCTGCGGGTCCACAGTGTGGCTTTCGGCCCGTGCTGCGCTGGTACTTGCACTTCCTCTGGCGGGGCACGGGGTGGCGCTCCCGGGTAAGGCAGCGACCGGCGGAGCCTTGAGCGAGGCGCTGCCTCTCCGGCTGAAGCTGGATCCAAGGCCACCGTGAGGGGGACCCGCCATCCAGGTAAGACGTATTGTTTCCTTGTTCCTTGGCGAATCGATGGGGACCAGGCTTCCCCAGGCGGTGAAATGAGGAACAGGGACCGCGGGGCTCGCCTGACCAGTGGGGTCTCCATCCTTCTCTGTGTTGACAAAAGACAAGAACAGACATCGCCTGAAATCTTCCCGCCTCCCTGAGCGAACCTGCGTCTGGGAAGGCGCTGCAGAGAAGTGATCGCTGAGTGAGGAAGGAGGTGCCGGGCCTCATTAATCATACCTCGGGAGGCAATGCCGGGAAGGTTCTTTGTTTAAAGAAATACTCATTTTTTTAAAATTTTTTATTTTTAATTTAAGTTCTAGGGTACATGTGCACAACATGCAGGTTTGTTACATATGTACACATGTGCCATGTTGGTGTGCTGCACCTGTTAACTCGTCATTTACAATAGGTATATCTCCTAATGCTCTCCCTCCCCCATCCCCCCACCCCACAACAGGCCCCGGTGTGTGATGTTCCCCTTCCTGGGTCCAAGTGATCTCATGGTTCAGTTCCCACCTATGAGTGAGAACATGCGCTGTTTGGTTTTCTGTTCTTGGGATAGGTTGCTGAGTTTAAAGAGCACTTGGTGCTGACTTGCTGTGGCCATCGCCTTCAACAGCTCATCTGTAGGAGGTGCAGGCTGAATTCACACCTCGGTGTCATCCATGTCTGTCTGCCGCGCAGAGGAGACAGGAGAGGCCCTCCCACCACGCGGCTTTTACGGGAAGCTCTTCGTGTCGGCCAGAGGGATGTGATTTGGTTTATAGCCACACCAAGTCATTTTAATAAAACTCAATTAACTGTGTTGCCTTGCAGGCTCCGAGTGTTACAGGCAGACCCGAGTCCGAGTCTTCCTACCATTCATTGTCCCCTTCTGGATTTCTAGGGACCCCAGATACGATGGCATCAATGTCAGTTAACTTGGCACTGTTTAAAATAGATCTATGATCAAATCTTAAGTTTTTCCAAATAAGACCCTGGATGAATGCAGGAAGGTCATTTGATTACTTTAAAATAAGAGTATTTTATGTTAAGTTTGAAAAAGCCAGTCATAAAACTAAGCCCTGTACCAATGAATATAGTTCGTGAAGCCAGCAGCACAGGCTTATTAAATATCAAGCACCACCATTATGAGTAAGCTCATTTATTTTCAAAGCTCTTTGCAATCATTAATTGTTCACGTCTGTGAATATCCCCGAGACAGACAGTATTATTAACTCCATTTGAAAGGAAGAAAACTAAGGCACAGAAAACCCGTAATTCATTGCCCTGAGGGGAAAAGGAGACACCAGGAACACTGGCTGTCCTTTCGCTGCATCTTCTGTTTGGTAGAGATCCGGGGACATCCGGAACATCCACACTCTCTCTCCCACTCACGGCCATGCCACCATCTAGTGCCGCATTGACATTTCCTCTCTATCTCAGGATAATCACATCGATGTAGCACTTGGCGGGTTTGTTATCTCAATGTCTATTATCTCAAAAATTAATCCTCATAGCAACCTTAGAAAGAGGCAATATTAGCCCCATTGCATAGGAAAATGAAGGATCAGTGAGAAAGTGACAGGTCTGTCACTGGCGATGGAGGACAGGGCCATTGCGGCGAGTCAGGCCTCAGCTGCAGGTCTGAGTTTATGCCATTGCCCCCATCTGTGGGCTCCAGGAGGCTGTTGTCTAAGCAGAAGGCATGGCCCATCAGGGGCCATGGGTGGTGGGCACAGAATTGAGTCATCTGCCTGCCTTCCCACCCACCTGTATGTGTTGTTTGTTTGATTTAAGTCCTGTGAGCGTAGTTTAGGACCTTGTCCCTTCCCACAGCATAGCATAGAAAGTTGGGCAAGTCCAGACCATGACTAAATCCACTTAAAAAACCCCACCCCCCCGCCAAGACCAGCAGATTCTCTCCCTCTCCACTTGAGATATGATGTTGCCTTAAATGGTCCAGCAGTCGCGGAGTCTCAAGGGGTCTCTCTGCCTTAGTTGGTGCATTCCAGTGCTGCTGGGTTCGTATTTCCAGGTC